CTGGTTGAAGCAAATTGTATTGTTGTCAGGGCTCAACCTGAGCTAACATTCTTTAGAGTGCACTGTTCAGTGAGATATCAGTAACAATTAAAGTGCAAAAATAGATAATTTATTGTATAAAGATGCATTTTGCAACAAAGTTTTAGGAACCTGTAAATTTAATATAAATATAATAGCTATAGTCATGAACAGCATCGGCGTGTTTCTAATTCCCAGCCCCCATACTATGGATCAGTGAACATTTATGGAGCAGGAAAAGATCATCTTTGCGCTCAAGTATCAATGAGGCAGCAGACTTTTATAGTGTTTATGGTAGCTTATATTTTTCTGTCAGTGTGTGTTTTAAACTGTGTTATATTACCCTTACTGCACAATGTGGCATTTGCAAAACAAAAGCATTATTCATGCTTCAGCAAAGCATTATTCAAGCTTTGGTAAATATGGAGTTCTGATATAGCGTAGGATACAGACACTAACATCACGAACCATATTCTGAAAAGTGAGCACCATATGGATTACAGTTGCTTGGTGTTATTGTCTTGGCATGCACACTGTGTAGGAAGTTGATTATAAATTTGAGGGAAGTGCTGTATATTATATTGCTGTTTGGTTTGCAGAGCTGCATGCAGTGGGAGGATGAGATGGTATGGACCAGGTTAGAAACACAAATAGACGGTGCCGCAAGGTTAATGAAAATCTGCAGTGAGTATGCAGGCAGTGCAGTATATAGGGATGTGTCATAATGCTTGGATACAACAGCCCTGCGCTCCCAGTTTGTCTCTCTCACGCTCAGTCATTCCTCTTTGTCTCGTCTTTCTGCTTATCAAACTATGCCTGTTTGTTCCTCTTTGGTTCTCCCCTCTCTCCCATTTGCATGCTCCTCTCTCACTCATGGTATGTCATCCACCTTTTGCACTCTGCTGTAACCTTAGTATTAGCTTAAAAAAATACAGTATAGAAATCAAATGTAGTTATTTTGGTCTAACCACATTAAATAGAAACACTGAATAATAAAACAACTGCAAATCGGACGCATCCACAGGAGATGTGAAAGGAAAGAAAAGGCACTCGGTGAAAAAATTCCAAGCTGTCGTAACATGTTAGGTGTAGGATGCAGGATTAGTGCTTTAATGGAGGGACAAATGCAGTCTCCTGCCATCATAATGGGTTTCAAGCAGTGAACCATCATTACATCAGCCTTGGGATGGACTCAGTTAGTTATTCAGACAGTGAGTTTCGACAATAAATCATCCTACAGCCTGCATGTCCATCATTGCTTCATCTGTCGTGTGCTCCCTGCCCCCCTCTTCACTTCGTCACCATCTCTTCCCTCCATCTGTGAAGTAGAGAGGGCCGTTATTTTATCAGTGCTGGCTGGACAGTCAGGACTGGGCTAAGTCAGATTTGTTGTTTCGCCAAAACTCTCTATTAGAGCCATGCCTCTATATTCTTCAGAGATCTTAATGTTAACTAAGATCTGTAGCAGACAGAGATGCATGTGAACATGCGTTGGTCTTCTTACAGGCCGCACGCTCCTACAAGTTAAAAGTCCTTTTTATTTCATGTCTCGGTTTTTCTCAGAAACCTCTTACGCGGGGAAATGGCAGCTGGGTATTGTGGTCTAAGTAAAACAGCTGAGTGGTTACAGTATTAGTACCCACAAAGGAACTGATGCATCTTATTTAAGCAACTCACTTGATTATCACACATGAGAGAGGAGAATCCATCTGGCTGTGCCAATTAGTCTGAAAAATAATGATGGCAAAAAACAGAAAATATATATATGATGCAATAGTCTGAATAAGCATTAATATTACCTCTACTAGATTTTAAGATCAGAGATGGAATTTGTGATTTTTGGTTATACAGGCTCTGACCCCAGCTTACTCGGTGCTACTATCTGCATCTGTATGCATTATCCTTTGTGTGTTTGTTCAATCATTCATTCATTTGTTTGCACACACATAATTATTGCAATGCAGAGTGCTTAGGGAAATTGCAGTGTACAGTGTGAAGGTCATGCGGAGCAGTAAATACACTGTGTGCTCAAACAAACCACAATTTAAACAATCACCAACCAAATGGAGGCTGGTGCACTGTTTACACATCTGGAAGTAACTTGGTGGTTTTTCCTATATTCTTGTGGCCATGTAAACACTTAAGTTAGTTTAGTGGAGAGTTAACTCATTTAAAAATTGAAAATCAGGTTTTTTGGGGCGGGCCTATCAACATGATTCGGTCCAGTATGCAACTTAAAGAAGTGTGATGTAGAAACTTGAAGCTGCCAGCTGCCGCACATACTCTGACAATGGACTCAGAGACATAATAGGTAGGAGACACCTTGTGGATCTTCAGGAAACCTTTAAAAATCAACAAAGTGTGCATATTCATATATTCTGAATTTTTGATGAGGTGGAAGAAGTAGATACCTTTTTAAGGATTTTAATGTGGAAATTATATTTTATATTTAATTTTTTGTTATGTAAAAAAACATATCAGACACATTGTTGTTCCAAGAAGATTATTTGTATATGTCTTAATACATGTCTGGAGGGGGACTTTTTGGTCATTTTGATAACACATTTTACTGAAGTATTTTTCATTCTTACTGCCATCATCAACCACCAGCCTCATGTTTCTTCTCCAGATTATGTGAAAAAACACTGAATGCTACCTACCCAGTGCCAACAGCACTTGGAGCAAACTTAGTGACGCAGGTGAATATATTTATAATACAGTTAATTTACAATAGCAGCCAAAGTACCAGGTGGAGACCAAAACAGAGCCAAAAGGAGAGTGAATATTGGACCTATTCTTATAAGGGTGGCCAGAATACAACCCCATGTGGCCCAAAAAAAAACCCAAAAACCCCTCTCAAACTGGCTCAATATTTCCCGAGATCCACAGTCATACGTTCACTCACCTATATGGCCCACAGGGGAATTATATTTAATGGCTGGTTATTTAATAATTTATTAAAATAATGAGAACAGTTATCGGGGGCATTTTCTGCCCTTTCGTCTTTAATTTCACTGGCATTTTTAGATCTTTCAAGGGCATTTTTGCCCCGTGCTCCTATTCATTTCTAACCCTGCCTCCGTTATGTTTTCCTTATTATTTCACATCCTCTCAGATACACAGCTAATTATCCCAATGACCTTACAGTCACGACAGACACTTTTTCTCCAACTTCTGCTGTTACCTTTGCGTATGTGCTAATGTTGGAGAGAAATTGTCTCGATTTATGTTACCAGGAATAGATTTAGATACAACCCTATCCAGTGCTGATTTTAGTTCATTGTATTTAATAGAAAATGCAAAAGCAGACTAGTGGGATAACATTTTTAAACTGCTGTAGAGAATCCCCACAGCTCCCAGTGCCACATCTGGCTCATCACAGCCACCAGGCCTCCCGCCAGATCCCAGCTCAAGCGCAAGGGCTCAGGTTGGGCTTGTGGCAGCATACCAGCCCCTAGGGGTGTCTCTACCCTTTCTGATGCCCCAGGCAGAATTTGTCTATCAATAACAAATCAGTAAACCTGATCTTTATTGCATTGCAAATTTGTTTTATAACTTATATCTCACTATAAATCATGACACATTTGTACTATCTAGTGTGATTCGTATTTATCAGTGAAAAGTGAGAATTAAAAATAACCATCAAACCTGTTTAACCTTTTTAGTGTATGAAAAGAAGAACATCTCAGTTTCAGGCCAAAGCTTCTGAGATTGGTAATACTATCACTATTTTTGTTACTGTTCTCTCATATGTATAAGGTACATTATATGGGCTACACATTCCAATTACGTTTAAATATTTTGAGTTTTAGTAGCTATTTTTAACTGGTAAATACAAATTTAAATTAGTCACATTACCAGTTGTTGTATTTTCCTACAGAAGAGTCATCAGTGATTGGTTCATAAGACATCTAAACTTAATTACTGTTTTTCTCTTTGATGCTGAATTGAAATTTTAAATGAATATAGTATGACAGTTTACAAACTGCATAACTCGAGAGCTAACATCAGTCTAAGCCGTCTGGTCCCTTGGGACAAATAATTGATATATGGCAAGCTATTTTTTTACTGA